AAAAAAAAAAAAAAAAAAAAAAAAAAAAGAAGAAGAAGAAGAAGAAGAAGAACTTGCCTACGGTAACATGCTAGTCATTAGGACTAAGATTTAAACTTGGGTCAGCACCATGGCCTAGTGATTATGGTAGCTGGATCCCACATGGCAAGCCCAGCAGTCTGAATCCCAGCCATGCCAGGCACATGTGCATGCATGCTCCAAATCCCAATGGATGAAGAAATAGAGGAGAAATGATTGTAGTATAACCATGCCCCATGCCCAACTATGTGTGCGTGTGTGTTGGGGGGCTAGAGGGAGAGTGTTGCTCTCTCCCTCTCCTCTCTCTCTTTGGTGAGTTCATATGCCTCTGGAAAATTAAAAATATAAAGATATAAATTTATACTGGAGTACGTTACTCTGTAATTCATGAACCATTACTCTATCTTGCTCTTGAGCAGGAATCACATTTTCTATTACTAAGCTCTGATATATTCCATTAAGTAAAAGAAATGGACTTTAATAGACAGCTATTTCTTTTTATTTTTTTTAGAGACTTTTTTCTACAGGGCATGTGCGCTTGCCAGAGAGACAGAAAGAGACAGAGAAACAAACAGAGAAATCACCCAGCATGGGGTTAGCCACACCACAATCCCTTCTTCTCCATTCTCCTCTCGGGGGTTTTGAGCATGCACAAACACATGCCCACTGTGAAAAAAGTGAGAACTCATCCCCTGTGGAATGATCACACCCCAATCCCTTCTCCATTTCTCCCCTTGGGATTGAGCACATATGCACATGCACTTAGTGTGTTTTTCAAGCTACCAGGTCTGGAACTTGAACAACAGTTGGCCAAGTGCGATCCAGCCACGTTAACCACCACACCATTGGCTGTCCCCCAAAACTCTCTTTTAAAGATAAAGGTGGGCCGGCAAGTGGCATGGTGGTTAAAGGCGCTGGATTCCCACATAGCCAATTGTGGTTCAAGTCCCAGACCTGAAGGCTTGCTTTCTCACTTTCTCTTTCTCTTTCTCTTTCTCTCTCTCCCTCTGTCTCTCTCTGGTCAACTTAAAAATAATAATAACAAATGGAATTAAATAAATATTTGAAAATAAGTCATTAAAAATGAAGATGGCTAAGGGTTTTACTTGTGACCACACAGTCAGATGTTGAACTAAAGGGCAACTTTGGACCTCAAGTTTCACATACCTCTTTACCTGGGACAAAGCTTCACTTTCTTTCTATGTCCTTGTTGACATGAATATTCTCATTTTAGCTTTCCTCTCATATTAGTTTCCCAATACCTAAAAACCTTTTACTGAAATTCCTGCCCCTGTTTTATCAATTCCTTCTCAGAATAATTCAAACTTGATTTGAGTTTCCAGGAATCAAATTGAGATAAGGAACTGGCAAAGAGCTTTTAGAACCTTGGAATTTTTATTATTATATTCATCATTTACAGCTGCTTTGAGACCTCAAGCAAGTTTACTTTAAGACTTCCTAATTCAGTTGCTTCTAAAAAGTCAGAATAAAAATGAAAGCAAACTAAAAGGTAAGTTATGAGAATGAGGTTTTCAAAAAATTGAAGAGAAAGGGTAAGATAATTTATCAAAAGGAAGTGCCTAGCAAGACAATACCTGGATGTGGTCAGGCTTGTGACAAAAATGCAGGGAGGCTAGATGCAGAAGGACCAAGTGAAACCCTTGTTTCCAGACGCCAGTTCCTCCCCCTAACATTTATAGACTGTTTCAGTTTCTTAACTTCTCTTTTCATTGTCTTAGGTAAGTCAGTCATAGTTTGTGGAGCCTATAACTCTGATGGGAATGTGAAAAATAAGATGGTTATAGATAAGAACCTTCTTGTCCTTAAAAGTGTACCGTTTTGTTAGAGAGACAAAATGAACTGTTTCTGAGGTGACTTTTCTGGAATAAACCTACTCTCTACTGCTCTTGCTCATATTTACTTGAGCTGAAAGCAAGGCTCACAGGCTTTGATGGGGTAGTTGTGAAGGTATAAAGAACTAAAGAAGACATGGGGCCTGCATTCATGGGGCTTGCCTTCTCACGGAAAATAAAGACACGTGACAGATGGAAGAAAGAAGTAACACGGCAAAGACGTATGAACTATTTTGCATGAGCGTAAAGAGAATTAAATGGAGCTGTGGCTATTGGGGCAAGGCTTCATAGAAAGGTTATATTCAGCTGGACCTCAGTGAATGAATAGCCCTTTGACAATCAGAGCAATGAATGGGACAGAGGAAGTATTTTAACACTGAGGAAATGGAAAGGCAAAGGGTTAGAGCTCAGGAATCTCATGGCAGATTCAGAGAACTGGTGCTAGATCACGGCTTTCTGAAATAGGGATATGAACACTGGTTGTAGCAGAAAGCGTGGAATAAACATTAGGTGAGAGAAATGTAAACTTTGCTTATCCACTGTAAGAAAATACAGTGTCTAATTTTTGGAGGATATTTATAGAGTATGGGAATATTGGGCTGTTGGAAAAGTCATGACATATTTTTCTGTTTTTTTTTAATGCAAAAATGCATCATCACTTTTCTGACCACCCAAGAGCTAAAAATAAGGATATTCAATTGAACATGGCTCCTTCAAGCGCTAACATATTGTGTGAACTTAAGAACTCAGAATAAAATGAATAGATTGAACCACTATAATTAGAATGTTCTCACTCACCCTTCCCACATACACATATAATGGCACACAGGCACCACTATCCCTTGGGAGGCTGGAAGGGTGAATAGGAGGCCCCAGGTTTGGTTCCCAGGCCAACCTGGACATGCTAGGTATAGTTGCTCATGCCTCTAATCCTTGCTGATGGGGGGCCAATGTAGGAGGATTGCGATACAGTGGAACCCTGTCAAAAATACTTAAATTTGTTTTGCTCCCTTTCCTTCTCTCAGCCTCTCTCTCTCCCTTTCCCTCTTTAAAAAAAAAAAAAAAAAGCAAGATCATTCTTTCAGTGCACAAACAAGATATTAATACCTCCTATCTCTCAGAAACTAAAATTGGTGTTCATAGTGCAAAAATGACCCACTGAGCCAAATAGCACAATTCTGTTTCCATCTGATAAGCTTCTTTCCTGTCTTGAACTACTTATATTCATCTTGACACTCAGCACGTGGAGCTGTCTCCAAAGAGTTTGCCTTATCATACCAATCGTTTTCAAAAAGAGATGATGATCATAGTCACTTCAGGCTGTGACTTATCTGCCAACTATCAGTTATCTTTCATTTTTTTTTCTCAAATATTGGTAAGAAATTTTCAAGCTAAAAATAATTTTAAAAGTACATACAGAGAATGAATGAAAATCTCTCCCACCCTCAGGCTCTTTTATGATAAAACATCCCTTTTTAAGTTACTGTAAGATTTAGAAAACCTCTTAGGCTTAAAATTTTTCTATAAAACCACTAGTGTATTACAGAAATCCCCCCTTATCTATGGTTTCACTTTCTGTGGTTTTAGTTACCTGTGGTCAGTTGTGGTCTGAAAATATTAAATGGAGCTTTCCAGAAGTAAGCAATTTAAGTTTTAAATTGCATGCCACCTGAGCAGCATGATAGAATTTTGCGTTTTCCCATTCTGTCCAGCCTGGGATGTGAATCATCCCTTTCCTAGCATTGCCTGCTAGTCACTTAGTGGCCACCTTGCTTATCAGATCAAGGGTCACAGTGCTTGTGTTCACGTAACCCTTATTCTACTTAATAACGGCCCCAAGGCACAAAAGCAGTGGTGTTAGCAATTCTGCTGCCAGAGCGAAAACATAAAGTGCTTTCTTTAAGTGAAAATATGAAAAGTCTCTACTTAATAAGGGAAGAAAAAATAATGTATACTGAGGTTGCTACAATCTATAGTACAATAAATTGTCTTGAGAGAGACAACATAAATTTTATTACAATATATTGTTTTTGTTTGTTTGTTTGTTTTTTGGAGAGGTTTTTGCTATAGGGTGCGTTCGCTTGCCAGAAAGAGAGAGACAGAGAGACAGAAAGCGAGAAATCACCCCCCCCGGGGGGGATGGCCACACCACAATCCGTTCTCCTCCATTCTCCTCTCAGGATCTTGGGCATGCATGCCCACGCGCCCGGTGTGAGTTTAAGCCACCGGATCTGGAACTCGAACCGCGGTCGACTACATGGGAGTTCAGCGACATAGCTATTATGCCAACTCTGGTCCCAACAAAATATTGTTATTGTTTTTTTTTAAAAGTTTGCCACAGGGCACGTGTGCTCACCAGAGAGAGAGAGAGTGATAAAT